CGAGGCCCAAGCCCCGGTCAAGGGTGTCTGTTGACCAGGCTTTGCTAACAAAGCTCATCTCTATCGACCTACCTATTCAACTTCCAGCCAAGACCTATAGCAAACATGACTGAGATTATTCAGCTACACACTTCCACAAAGATGAGTCGTCTAAAACATTGACAGTTGCATGTCACGATTGTATGAAAATTGATCTCTAAAACCTGAGAATTGGCGTTTCGTGTGTTTCCGCCCGATTCGTGTGGTTTTCCGCCCGATTCGTGTGGGTTTCCGCCCGAGTTTTTTTCTGAAAAAATGAAGAAACACTGATACACTTCATCCCAAACCATGACACAGATTGTTTTCGACCTGCAAAGTTTCACTTCGATGACACTAGCAAGTGAACCCCCACACAGGCAGTTGCAGTGGGGCACCATGTCCTAATTGTTCATGAATTTGATCACTAAAAGCTAAAAAGCCACGGCAAGAGTGAACACATCATCACTCAGCCGTAGCAAAGAGAACAGGCCTGTACTGAGCTGGTAGCTGGAGGCGTTTAGATCCGCGTACGTACCGGAAGATAGTCCATAGCTCTGCATCATCCCAGGGATCACCGGTTGGTAGTTCCAACAAGTGCTGGATGATATCTCCAATGAACTCCTTTGACTCAAAGGCATCCGGGGTGTACCCTCTTAGCTTTAGCCATGTCCCAACCCCTGCGCCCATAAGTTAGAAGGATTCAGAAGGTAAAGAAAACTATCGGTCCTGCACGACTGGCTTGCCACTCAGCAACTCTTCTCGACGTTCCAACAGGGTCCCAACAAATCGGCAAGGATATAGCCTTGATCAGTCTTGCTAACCCGGACCGTGGCTTGGGTGGTAATCTTGCCACAAACTATACCATGCATGTATCATTCCTGCAAAGAAACACAATGTTGAATCAAGAACCTAGTGACTGAGTAGCTCGTAATTCTGAAGTGCCTTTATATCTTTGGCGTCCTTGCTTATCTCGATACTTGGTAGCAGTCTGGACCAGGGACTTGTGAACCTTCATGTGGATGGGTCCAAGATCAAGGAAAGCAATACTCGGTGAGATACTCCAAAGTAGTGTCCGCTTCAGGCAGAGATGCCCATACAATTTCATCCACAGCCCTTGCTTGTAGAGGTCTTAGCTGGACTCAGAAGTAAATCGAAATACCCAAATTAAAACATAAAGGACTCATTCAGCCGTGTGGGGGCCATCTTTCGGATAGAACAAGAATGGTGAACAAACAGGCCGTTTCGGGTGCGTTTTGTGGGCGGCTTGGGCATGGTGTTTGCAGGCCAGAAATCATTCCCCCACCCCCCAAAGCATCCCACAGCGGGTTGGAACTATTTCATACTTCACAGCAAGACTCTGATCCCCTTTGCTGCCAGCATCTTGGCTAGGTGTTGGAGGCGAGGTTGTGCCCCAAGAAGCGAGCTGCCAGGGTTCTCCAATATTGGAACTCCTCCAGCTGCCACAACTAGCAGCAGGATCAAAACAGACCTGTGGGACAACTGTGGGACAACTCCGGGAAGAATACCCACAGGATCACCCTCGAGCAAAACAAGGTTTCGACACCCTGCACCTGCATGTTCCTTTGTTAGCTCGATAAACTGCTAATGAGATAGGGCAGCCCAATGGTAAGAACATGCTTCGGTGTGTAGAGCCCCTCGAAATTCCAACGTAGGTGGAGCAGCAAACACCAAACAAGGCTATGAACTCGTCCCACCTAGCTTGGAGAACCAATACGCAGGCTAACCTCGGTCGGCTGGCCAGGCAATGGAGCGAGCGCAAACGCGGCAAGATCAGAAGATGAAGGCCGGGGCCGACATGCGAGCCAAACTAATCCCATTAATGAAGCTAAAGAACACAAAGCCTCCACTAGTGTTCATGTCCATGGCATTGTTTCTTGTGAGGTTGTCACCTTCTGTGTCATACAGCCAGTCCATGGCAGCACTCGGATAACCTAGGGCCTTTGTGAGCTTAGCAAGACGTGCCCTGCCAGCATAAAACTCTAGGCACATGTACTCGTTCTTTGTCATGTCAACCATGGAGAGGCATCCAATGCACAGAATGGTGACGATGAATACCTCACACTCAAATCTTTCGCGCATCAAATCTACCCTCCCTTAAAACAGTCAAGTAGAATCAAGTAGAGTGTGTCTGGCTGAAGCCGGGGGGGCCTTCGGTGCCTCCAACCAAATCAGCCGCCGGAGAATGGTTTCCAGCTTTGGTGGCAACAGGGGCCCCTCAAGCCCATCCATCATGGACGGCCCACTTCTACCGCAATCTACTCCCAGCCCAGAAATGCTGTCAAGGCAAACTGATTCTATGCATGGGCTTGAGTCTGAAGACTAGTCTGAAGCCATGTTACTTCACTGAAAGTCACCCGTTCTTTAAACTTGCCAGGTCGGCTCGTTTTGTATTCCTCTTGGACGATGCCATGCCGAACGTACGGGCCCAAGCCTGACCGGAGCTTTTTGCCCATCAGGTACCTGGAGGGCAGGGAGATGTGACAAATGTGAAAAAGACCAGCGGATGTTAGAGTGCTAGGGCAAAGTCAGGCTAGCTGGGGACCTTTTCACCTTCGCTGCCCGGCAAAACCCCAAGATCCATTGCCAGGTTCTATGAAGATAGCCTTTGCTAGAGGTTGTGCTTGCACTCACGCTGGCAGGCAACAAGAGATGAGGAACTACAGGTGGAAGATACTATCACTAACATGTTTGAAGCAGCTAGTTTAAAGCCCACAACATGCTTGCGGGCCAACGTGCCTAAGCAAGCTCAGCCTTCACTGATTGAAACAAACGTTGCACTCAGCTGTTCCTTCTCACTGAGTGCCTGGTGTTGCAAAACCCGGTAGAAAATAGATAATGTATCGGTTTTGACTCGACGACCAAAAGAAGAAGTATAAGTATAAAGGTAAACTGCTGTTGGAATACGAGGTGCTTAGCCCTTTTGCCTCCAAGAAGGATGCCACCTTGCCCTCGAAGAAGAAATCAAATTTGTCAACTGGCGCCCCATGACTCTTCAGCTCCTGCACGCAGTAGTTCCAAAAGTGCACCTCAAAGGGTTCAAGGGGAGATTCAAACATAGATGCAAACATAGCTAGGTCAAGTGTGAAACAAAACTCCAGAAAGAACTTGTGAATTGTGAGCACGCAAGCCTCCATCGCAGACGCTTGCTTCGTAACATGCTGACGGACATGCTTGTTGAACACCGCCTTCACTCCATCCCACTTGGCCCCGGCAACCTGGTCGTTGTGAGGGCGGTATCGCCTGGCGAAAGACTTCTTCTCTGCTGTGGAGCCTTTTTTCTCTGCCACCTCCTCCTTTTTGGCTTTGCTCCGGCCCTTTGCCTTAGTCTCGGCAGCTTTGCCAGGCAGAGGGTGGGCCTCATGGGGCTCTTCAGCCACCTTGGGCACCTCAGCTACTGGCTTCGCATCAGATGTGTTTGCATCAGACTGGCTTGCAACCTTCCTCCTTTTCTTGGTCTTTTCTTCAGGCATTGCCCCATTGCGTGTTGCCACATCCTCCTCAACACCATCCTTTGACTTCTGACCCTTGCGCTTCCCAGCCTTTCCTTTGGGAGAAGCTTTGGCCTTGGCCTTCGCTCTGCCAGAAGCTCGGGCCTTGGCCTTTGCCTTGGCCTTTGCTTTGGCCTTTGCTTTGGCCTTTGCCTTGGCCTTTGCCTTGGCCTTTGCCCTCCCTTTCCCGGCAGGTCGGCCTCTCTTGCGCTTGTTTTTCTTTGTCTTCTTGCCATCTTCTTCATCCTTCTCTTCTTCTTCTTCTAGCGAGACTCCCTGCTCCATTTGCTCCTTTCTCAAGACCACAGTAGTGGCATGGAAAAGATCTTCAGGAGCTGATGCCTCTGGGGTCCCTCCACCCTTTGCCACAACCGCATCATCATCAGACTTCTCATGCGTGGGGCCATCCTGAGCAGAAGCCTGGTCAGGGCCTCCTGCAGCCCCAGCCATTGCAGACTCAGCAGCTTGCGGCTGATTCTTTTCCGAGGGCATGACCTCAGTAGAACCCACCGCCTCCACATGCTGCTCCAGCCTTTTCAAAGGCATCCTCTCTGGTGACTCCAAGTCCACCACCTCAACTGTTGAAGGGCCGGTCGGAAAACCTTTCCATGCCTTTGCCACAGGTGACAAGTCAGAAGGCAAGGTGTCCACTGCAGTAATGTCCACTGCGGGCAATGTTGGTGAAGCCACTGAAGGTCTTGGAGAACCATGAACTGCCAATCTCATCCTCAAGTTTGTTGAGGCGACAGAAAGAACACTTTGAAATTGAAGGACCTATACCTATGAGTTCCATAAGCTTTTGAAAAAGGGAAAGTGGCTATTATTCAGACCAGCGTCTTAATTCGTTTGATTTTCTCCTGCAGCTCCATGACCTCTTCCGCACTGTAGGTTGCCTTCTCTGCGGCGGGGACTGGGTCGACACGAACCGGGAAAGCAGGATCCATCTGCACAATCTCTTTTGGAGAGGGCGTTGTCTCCTGCACAGTCGGAGATAATGACTGCTGCGAGGAATGGACAGCCACACCAGCTTCAGACGTTTCATCTGGAGCCGTGGCAGCAGCGTCACTCAATGCATCAGAACCCGGAGGCAGCTGTGAGTCAGGAAAAAGTTCAAGCGCCAGCTTGCCAGGACTGCCCTCACCAGAAGCCTCATCAAGAGGAATGCTCTTGGATTCCTCAAAAAGCTCTCTCGCAACATCATCAGGGGCAGTATCATCAAAGACCTGGCTCTCAGGTAATTGCGAGTCATTGACAGGCTCCACAGGCTGTGCGAGTATGGGCGAGACTCCAAGCGTTTCAAGCAATGTGTAGTCATCCTGTTGAGCTGGGACCTCCACATCCTCCTCCTCCTCCGCACCATTCTCTTCATCTACGTTCCCAGTCTCATGTTCTACCAGCTGATTCTTCGAGGGTTTGCGAACCACCGGCCAATGCTTTGAAATGACATCGTATAAGACTTTGACGATCGGATCCTCAGCACAAAAAACATGGCACCTTCATGGCTGCAGGGTTCTGTGGAAAAAACTCCCACAAAAATATTAAAACGAGCTGGCAAAGACAAAGCTCACGGCGAACAGAGCCATCATGACGCTTCACCATGTATGTGACGAAGCCTCTCAAGGACATTGCATCACAGTTGACCCTGACCATGTCCTCGCTCATGAAAAGGTCAGTCCGAATCTTCTCCACCTTGGGCCAAGTCAGGAGCAATGACCGGCACAGTCTACCCCATTTCAGAATTTGTTCAAACACTTTTAGACCACCGAGCCTCTGCCCTCACGTGATCTATGTTGACAGTCTTGGGTGCATCCACCTGTGGGCACCATTTCTCAAGGACATGAGCAAGCACCCTGCCATTGTGCGCAATCGTCGCAAAGTTAATCACTCCAGTCATTTTGGGATCAGGCCAACTAAGCAAAGTCTTCTCCCCAAGCAGCTGCTTCCGGATGACTTCATCATCATTCCAAGCCTTAGCAAGCCCCGCCAATGAAGCCTCAGGGGCAACAGCCACAGCATCTTGATGAGGTTCCTCTGCCGGTGGTGGCATATCAGCGCCCGGCACAAAGAAATGCCTAGAGAACAAAAGCTAGCAAAGTAGCAAAACCCAAAAGCACTTGAGCAAAAAGCAGGCAAAGGATGTGCAATTCCATGGCTTCCCAGTGCTTGCTCCCAATAGTACTTAGGATGTCTAACTGCAGGGAGGGAGAACAAAATCGCCAAACCAAACATGTATTTTCTCTGTATGGGGCACTTGGTCGACTTGGTGTCACATTCGTGACGATGTCAATGTAGCCACCGCACCTGCGATTGGCATTTCCAATCACTCTTTTCAGAGAAACTTTTTGTGCTAGGAAACACAGGATGAATAAAGTCCTAGGTCCTAGCTTCACCATTTTCACCTGGGTTCATAAGCGTGGTAAAGGCTCCACAACCGACACTTGCTCTACTCAGGCAGACCATCAGTGAGACGCTGCGCTCTTGGCTGGCCAAGTCTCACCTGCAGCTGGTCGGGGCATGCAACAGTTGTTGCAGATCGGTTCTACAACATCAACTGTTTACCACAAGCTGTTGACTTTGTGTTTAGATAGTCCACCAGTACCAACAGCACTGCATCTCGGTGACTATGCAAATGCTTTTTGACCACAGATGCCAAGTAGTAGGCTGATCCAGCCAGGCGATAGTTCTGAAGTATGATACTAGCCCTGCTTTCTGGCACAGGAACCTCAGTATTTATACTTTGCATAGAAACAAGTACTAGCTTCAAACATGGCTGCCACCACTTCACGTTTCCGCACGTTTCTCATGACATGTTTCAAGGAGCTTGAGCATGGTCGTTGAAAAGAACTCGCTGCGTATGCACCCACCATTGGGTTGGTAGGTCATAGAGGCCTATGAGGCAAGGGGCCAATAGTACAAAAAAGTAGAAACAAGCAAAAACACAATAAGCACAATTGTGCCTTCATCCTTCAACTCGGCAGAGGTCTTGGGTGTCACATCCAAGAGACGGCGGGGGGGTCACCATTGTTGGAGTCACACAATCAAGGGTTCTTGATCTGACAGAAGGCTTCGGCAAATTATTCACATAGCACGTGCACGCACACATACTCACCCCGCTCATGCCATGGCTTGCTAAGCTTAAACGCTTGACCTTGGCAAGGGAGGGAGGCGCACCTCATCAGTTGATCTTCAACTCCATGCGGAGGTTGGAAACTCCCTGAAGTCTAAAGCTAGGTTTGAGCCTTGACAACAGGCATCTTCATGCTTTCCGCCCGCAGGCTGATTTTCAGCCTGAATGGTCTTCAGTCTGATTTTTCCCTTCAGACTGTTATTCCAGCCCGAAAGAGCTTGTAGGTATTAATTATATATATCATATCGATTCGTCTTGGTTTCCCTCTGAGATCAACGGAAGTAGATGGAATTTCAATGATCAACGGCCGGCATGGCATCTTGAGTTCCTCAAAAAGCTAGCAACTATTCAACTATTCCATTTGTAGACAGTGTGGCCCACAATCAATGAATCTGAAAACTACCAACTTGGGATTATTGGATGAATATTGGATATTGTGTCATATTGATTCAATGATATTCAGTTCTTTGAACTTCTTGGTGAAAACAGTCCCTGTGACGTTAACCGCCACCGCTTTGCCGGTCACTTGACATCGGAGCTCTCGCTCACCTCCGCCGCACGCTGTCCATCGATCAGGAGGACGATGGTCGCTACATCGATCAGGAGGACCGACGTGGGAGCGACGCGTTTCGTCCGATGTGTGGAGTACGGCTGGACGATGGTCGCTACCCGTTCAAAAACCCTGCCTGGGTGGGTGGTGACCTTCTTTGTGAAGATGATTCCGAAAGGGCCTTCCAAAGTAGAACGTAGTTGCAGTGGCCATTGGTTTGGATATTATCCGATATGATATCAGAGTTTGAGACATAATGATCTAGAATGTGAGAAAATGCATGTGAGGACACAAGATGATTTTCCGACGGGGTTCCTATGAAAGCCCGCGAAGTACCATCAGCTAGGCAGGAAGCCAGCAAGTCAGTGCATTCTGTTTTGGAAGTGGCTGATCGCACCCCAAGAGAGTTCATTCAAGCATTGGAATCTTCATGTCGGGAGTGAGAAGTGACTAACATAACAAATTACTGTACATCCGAATCGGTCCTGAGTCCTTGTTTGCCACACAGGCCACGGAGGTCAAGACGAGGAAAGCTCTCAAGCTCTGGACGAATCAGTAAAGTTGTTGTTTAAGTTCCAAAGTTTGGTTGTATATGTCCGTTTGCAAACTTGCTTTGGGTTGACAGCTTCTCCTCCCAGCACGCTGCTTCGCCTTTTGTTCAATGAAACTGGCAAGTGAACCTCCCCTGTCAAACGGGATGCTGTACGCTGCATCCAAAACGTTTCAAAAGGAATCGGATTCTCGCTTACAGACATGTTCAATCAATCAACGGTAACCTTTCTCCCACGCGCTCCATGAATGAAAGCCAAAACAATTGGCGTGATCAGCTTAGGACACGGCTCGCCCCAGTGCCGAAAGCTAATGAACCGGCTTTGGCTTTCGGATGGCTTTAGCTTCATACTGCCGCAACCTGGATGGCTTACCCCTTCGTACCACCACCGAACCTCACTGCACGGTTCAGTGGTGGTCAGATCCGGTCACTACTGGTGAGAGCATGCTCCGATCGGCTGCGCTGAGCACAGCACAGGATGAGGAGGAGGACAACATCGATGATCGCTTGCGGCTCATTGCAGGGATCCTTGAGTTGGAGCGATGGTGGGAAGATCTGGCTGGAGTCTTTGACGGCGAATTGGTATAGACTCTGGTAGACTCGGGCTACTTGGTGTACTTCTTGATTTGGAATCCTGAATCTTTTGAAGACATCTATATATTGATTTGTGCTCTCAAGTTTGGCTGACTGGTACTATGGAATGGCCCAATCTTATGACTAGTACTGCATGATGCAAGAAGGGACAGTTTAAACAATTGAGAGTGTTTTTTTTTGGTTTGAAGGATAGTGGCCCTTATGAGAGCTGTCATAATTAACTCTATATATTCAGTATATATATGAAGAGGCCAGGGTCCGAGCAAGCCTTTCACTTACGGAAAGAGAAGTATCATTTGAAGAACAGGAGCCGTGCGGACGAATCTACAGGAACCTTAGCAAAATAGACAATCCGCTTTCCATTGGATTTGTTGTCGCTGCGAGTACTCAGCAAGCGTTTTGACCGCGATACAAAAGAAGTTCGGCGTTTTGTCAGTACCTTTCTCTCCCGAAATAGCAGGTGCCCTTTGTTCAGTTGTGACTAGAAATTCCATCTCAGCTTTCAAGCGAATTGCTCTAGGCCAAGATGAAGGAGCCGGAGCCTTATCGGGATGCAGACATTTGGTTCTCCGAGACGGAAGAGGAGGAGGCGCGAGGGATGGCATTCTTGGTTAGACAACAACCTGCAGGTTGGTGGTTGCGGCAAGAGTGGTTGTGATCTATACAATTGTCGAGACCTTCTATGCATTAGCTTATAGTTTCTGAAATCCTGTATGGATATATGAGAGATCAATGATGGACCAGTTGTACCGTACGTACCTGTGTAATTATTGGCTTGGCTTTCAGTACCAACTTGACCAAAACGATAGAGTTTTGTTCAGTTAAAAAGGTTGGCTCAAAGCTACAAGTCTAAAGTGGTATTAAATCGATGCCATTCATTCCACCAAGAGTTTAACTAATTTTTGAAGCTTGGTTCTTTAATTTATGTCCTGTCCTTCTTGATGCAGGGGCAGGAACGCATTTCTCACCTGTTATCAGTGGGATATGGGACATTCATTTGTGTTGTTTGTTCCAAGAGCTTCTGTTACACCTAGACCGACCCTTCAGATCCTCTTCAGTTGAGGCTCCCCAGCCCTGTCACAGCGGGAGCCAGCGTGTGCCCCAACAGCAGGAGCGCTGGTGCGACGGCTGCGGCTCCAGCCGGGTGGTGGTCATGAAGAAGCATTCGGATGTCACTTGCCCTTGGTGGACTGCTGGAAAGAGCTCTGGGTTGGACGACTAGTCCAAAACACAGGGAGACTGAGCAATTGCCAGACAAGGCGTAGCAAGTTGCAATATGTTGCAATGTTCAGTTCTTCCAGTGGATAGTGGTACGTGGGACAACCCTAAGCACTTTGGGACTTGTCCTATGGAGTGTCCGTGAGCGGGGCAAGATTCTCAGACTTGGTTGCTCTGGTGAGATGAGGTCTATTGATCGATTAGATATTTTTTTCGAAACAGGACCAACGTGTCTTGCGTGTCGTGACGCTGTCCCCGTGACATCGCTTCTGGACCTCAGGCCTTTGGGATTGCATGACAGTTAATTGAAAACCTCCATGAGGCGAAAGAAGCTGAGAACCTCCATGAGGCGAAAGTCCCTGGGTTGGTGGATCTTCAATTCTTTCCTTTTCGGACCAAGATCAGAAGGAGCTCGTTCACCAGGAGCTCGTTTCGTTCGTCTACAACCTGCATTGGAGGGTCACATGAAGGGAAGCTTTATGAAAGTTTGCTATTTGTGCATTTGCACGAACTTAGTTATAATGGGGGAGCCTCTAAACAACTGCCAGCAATAGGAATTCTGGAGATGAATTCATATGAACACCATATTGTTGGTCAGAGTTGCAGCGATTCTGTGCTGTGTACTTGCGGGCAAACTATTTGATTAGCAGTTACATCGCCCACTCAGCTAGTAACTTGGACTTTTTGTGGAGCATTCTTGGCAAACATATCACCTTTTTTTTTCAAATTATATTAATTAAAACAAACTTTCGCAAAAGTTAGACCTTTCAGAAAAGTTAGTCTTTTGGATTTCCGATCTTTGCATAATTAGATATGTGACAGGTTGAGTATGGGAGTTGGGAGGTGTTGGAAGCACTTGCGATTTCCGCCGCCGCGTTCCCAAGAGATTTGGCTGGTGGCAAAGATTTGTCTGGTCGTAAGCCATGGCCATGAAGCGGCCTTCTTCTAAGCGGCCACCGATGAAGCGTCCAGCAAAAGCTGCAAGGAGCGGGCTTGCAAAGGAAGGGCTGGGCATGAGGTTTTCGGGGGTTCTAGGGGTGGAAAGGGTCAAAGATCTTCCAGGCCGCGTGAAGAGGGTTGTGATCGTCGCCGCTTTCAAGCCAGATTGTCAGTAGGCTCAGATTTGGGACCTGTCATTGTGTCCTCATCACTACTTCCCATCAAATATTTGGCACTGCCTTTGGGCACAAATCAGATGTCCAAAGACCTATTAAAAAATATATATTATATAATTAAATACAATATTTATACCTAGACTGATCCTGATGTAGGCGTGCTTAAAGCAATGCCGCAGCTTACACCGGTGAACAAGCTGGTGGCCCAGCGATGCAGCTGTGCTCAAGGCACTTGCCTGCGGCAGTTCCAGGGGCAAGAGAAAGAAATTGAGAAGCTACGCGTGGACTTCCAGAAGTCCACTGAGTCTGTGAAAGCATCTTTGAGGGAACCAGTACATTCTTTATCCTTTGAAGGAGTAGGTTCTGGATAGTGATCCTGCTTCCCATTAACTAGTCCAGAAAAGGGTTGCAAATTTCTGGAGAGAGAGAGAGAGGATAGGACTTTTTAGATTGGAGCAGTTTATCTCCTACAGTAGTGGATTTTGGGGGGTCCTACAGCTGCATTTTGGGCCAATGCATTCACTCCTAGGAACAGCTACTCCGTCAGTGGTACAACATTGGCCTTGACATTGCATCGGGGAAGCCAGAGCTGGAAGTACCTGAAGCAGAAACAGGTGTTCTGTTTTGCTCAGATGATGAGCCAGAAGTATTGCAGGAGACCAGTGAGTCCAGGTCTAGTGATGAAAGTGTCGAGGTAGCAAATGAAGGTGTTCTGTTTGAGACATCGTCAGAGGAGGTGGAGACACATCAGCCACCACCAAAGAAGCGGCGGTACACCTTGAGGAGGGCAGATGGAGCCTTGGCCATATTGGGCAATCATGTCTGCCTCCAGGCGCACAAGCGCATTTATGGGGTGGGGTCTGCAAGTTTGCAGCAACTCCTGAATCAGCAGCCGGCCTACAGCATGCGTGGTGAGAATCGGCTTGCGGAAGCAAAACACCCAACACTTGGTTTTAGTGTGAAGCGCAACAGTGACACTTACAAGTGGCCCCATATCTTGGAGTTCTTTTGGTTGTTGTACATCTCTGCGGCGGAGATAATGCCAAACAAACTGGTGATGCCAGATGAGTTGTTTTAAAAACAAGTCAGTGGGTCAGGAGGACAATGACCAAGACTTCGAAGACCGGTACATTACCAGCTTCATGAGGAACCTTGACATGCAATTCGACCCATTGAAAGTTGGACAGGCAGGGCCTGGAAGCTTTCAGGGGCCTCGTCGCTACTTGGAGTGGGAGAGGCCAAGTGACCTTTACCTCCAGTACGTTGCAATGTCTGAAGCTGACGGGCAGAAACCAGGAGGGTTCACAACGTTCCTGAGGGTATTCAAACAAGTGATGGGACATCACCTCAAGTTTCGAGCCAAAACAGAACACGCACAATGTACAGTCTGCTATCATTTGCGTGAGAAAATCAAAAAAGCTCGCTCACAGCAGATGAAGCAGCAAGGCACCCGCAACTACACCCAGCATTTGCTAAGCCAATGGCTGGACAGGCAGACGTACTGGAACACAAGACAAATGTCGAGGAACTTTTTTTACAATTGTGAAATCATGAAGAACAGCTTTGAAGGGAGCGTACTGTGCACCATAATCGACGGCATGGACCAGGCCAAGCTGCGAGTGCCAAAATTTGGAACGCAGCGAATCAACAAGAATCAGGAGCTCATCTTCAGACCAACTTGCCACCTGACGGCATGCTGGATGCATGGCTACAGACTATATCTTCCGCTGAGCGACGAAAATATGAAAAAGACTCTGAAACCCAAATGGAGATTCTCATGAGAAGCTTGAGTGAAGTGCAGCAGAAGTATTCCAAGCTCCCACTTGGTCTCTGGACACAGGCCGACAACTGTTTCCGAGAGTCCAAGAATCAATATGTATTCTCACTCAATTTGATGCTGGTTTGCATTGGATGCTTCAAGTGGGCTGTAATGGCCTTTCTTCGTACGGCTCACAGCCACGAAGATGTGGACCAGTGCTTTGGGCAAGTGGCAAGGTTGTTTGCAGCCAGAAAGTTTGATGAACCGGGCGATATGATCCAGCTGCTCAATGAGTGTTCAAAGTCCAACTCTGACCAGAATGCTCCATCAGGTTCAAATAAATCAAGACTGCAAACTGCACATTCCTACAAGCTGGACCAAGTGAGCAAGTGGAAGCCCTTTGTTGCCCAAACTGGCATCAAATTACTTGGCATGCGTAGAGTGCATTATTTCCGCATTTGCAGGCGTGGTGACATCGGTTCCGAGACATTGAACAATGTTGCAGAAGTTGAAGACTTCAACTTTGGTTCTGTGACTCCTGATGCTGAGGACATATTTTTGGTCACAAAAAGGTGGCTTCACGATGCTACCATTGCGCGAGTGATTGCATTGATCCCCGCCAGCAAAGCCTCGTCCATTCGCAGAAGCTTTGCTCCTCCAGATGGGTTGGCACCGCAGCGACCGATTGGAAACAAGGTGTTGCAAAACATCCAAAGTCGCGTTCCCAAATGCAGAGATAGATGCGAGCTGAGTGAGAAGGCAGCTAGATACTTGTTGTCGTGGGTCAACCAAACACTCGACCAATGTCCAAAGCCAGATTGGTACAGCATACTAGACTACCGTTACAACCCTACTATGGAGGCTGAAGAGCGGCTTCCTTATTTGTGGGAAGCACCCGGGCGGTACAGAAGGGTGGATGTTACATTGCCCAAGCTTGCAGAGGGTGATGATGGGGGGGCAAGCGATGAGGATTCAGACAATGCTCCGGTTGACATGGAGTAGATTTCCACAGTCGCATCCACTCAAGGTGGAAGGCAAAAAAGGAGGGTTGACCGGGGGGACCGGAACATCTCGTGAGCGTCACCGTCACCAGTCACAGTCCTGCCTTGCCAGGAGCCAGCCCATCCCGGAGGAGCCCGTTCTTTTTGCATCAGATGATGAAGCGTGTGGAGGAGCGACAGCTGTCTGTCACTTCTTGCAATCTAATAGTGGGACCATCATAGTAGCTCTGAGCTTTTGGGAAGGGGAGGGGCCGGGGCCGGGGCTGCTTTTCACATCCATATCAAGAGCAAATTTAATGGGTTCAACCTGTCGTTCATTCGCGTTGCAGGAGAGCAGCAGGAGCACAAGGACGAGCAGGAGATCATGTTGGCTTCAGATGAGGACCAAGGCGAGAGTGGGGAGGAGGAGCAGGACGTGGCCAAGGAGGGGATCTTTCGTTCCTGGCTTGATGCCTCCGTGACACTTCCCTTCGTAGCACCTGAGGTACCTCACCAGCACCAACACATCTCTAGTCTCTAGTAGGTCATTTTCCATGTTCAAACGATCCTTATTGATGGTTTCCCCCAAGGAGTTGCAACTGAGTAGAATTACAGTACAAATCAGATTGACTTCGGCCAAGGTAGACCAATTTGTGGACCGCTTTGTGAAGGACAACAGCTTTGCCTTGCTGCGTTCCAAGCTTGGAAACGTTTTGCAGCACCATGAGACGATCAGCGTCGGCTCTTGCTGCACTGGGTGGGGTTGTCTCGAAATGCTGCTGCGGGAGTTGGAGCCTGCCTGGAATGCTGAACATTCTGGATGGGATGTGAAGGCTAGGTCATGACTTGAGGTCCAATTTGTTCCCCTAGCAGTTGGAACTCTGCTGTTTGCTAGGTAGTTCAAAGGGGGCACCGCGCAGAATAGAGTGTGTTCACATCCACCCGTGGATGCCCCCTGCAGTTTGACCTCAAGTTCATGGTGGAGAATGACCGGCTGAAGCAGAAGTACCTCTGTGAGCGCTTCCACAGCCCCATCATCAACGACATGAAGGATATGGGCAATGATACGGCCTGCACTTTTGATGGGGGGACCATGAAA